CTTTACAATCGGCTGATGTGTAACTCAACTGCTTAGAAAATTTTCAAAGTATTGCCTTACCCATAGTGTCAGTTTTCTTTTGATTAGTATCGTATTTGTATGGTAACTAGCCTTGCGTTACGAAGTACACTAGCTTGTTAGACATCTATATTCTCCCTTAAAAAATATTACGAGCAGTTAACCCTTATCACCTTTATGATAGATTAAGACACCGGAGTCCTGTATTTAGTCATTGTGAGACACGTACAAGAACTTGCCATTTTTAAAAATAGTATTAAGACAGAAACAGGATAGATTTCGACCATCATGCCCCAGGGGTGATGGCAAGCAAGATACTGCATCAATACAATCCACAAGAGACAGTAATCCATCCCTTTTGATTCTCTTCTTGCTTATACCTTAGATACATTAACAACTTGATACATCTGGTGCCTTCTGTAAGTAAGAAATCGGGCGTTTAATTGGATACACTTCTGCACAATTTGGGTCGATCAAGATTGCATTGTTTCTATGATAAATCACGTATGACAAAATGCAGCCTGTCAATGTTGGGCTGAGGTAAATTCTATTTCAATGAAAATACCCTCTGAATTTTATGGTATTTTTGACAGTTGAACTTTTAATTTCTTATCACTTTCATGTTTCCATTATTCATTCCTCATTTGTCTGTCAGGATTCAGGAGTATAAAGAACTTCTGCATCTGTATAAATAGCTGGACTTTTATGTCTATAACCAGTTTTGTCAGAAAATGAGCAGCATGTGATACAGTTTCTTTTCTTAAATTATCTTTTTCCCTGAAATTCTTGTTGATCTAAATTCAATTTCTAGACAGAAACTGTCATCGGTTTTTATTGGCCGCTAGTCCCTCCATTTTTATAAGTATGTCTTTTTGCACAATTAGCATAGAATGCTTTTGAATATTATGTTGTTGGATCAGTCATAGTACATTAAAGGTAATATTGGTCAGTGTCATTTCTTGACTAACATGGTCGGCTGAATTGTAACACTTAAAAATCAAATGTATGGTTACATATTATTCCCCATTTTATAAATTCGGAGATATATTTTCTTTCATAAAACGGTCAAATTCATGTAGTGTAGGAAAAAAAAAATTAAAAAATAAAAAACAAAAAACAAAACAATTTCCTGCATTCAATCGTATTTTTATTATCCTTCTCATATCATAAAAAATTTTGGTGATGTAAAATTGAATGCAGTAAATAAGTAGGTTTGCCCACAACTTACAACATGGAATTCAGGAAGCTGAGTAATTAAAATGCTGTGTAGCTGTGTATTTTTTAGGCTGACAAGAGAATGTGAACATGTGAGGGGATTCTGGGTGTTCCCTGAAAAAAGCTGCTTCAGTTATTTTTTTATTTTATTTTTATTTTTTATTTTTTTTTGTAATCTGTAGTTTTATTTCATTGGTGACTGAACCACTTTCTCATCCAATCAACTTAGGAAAGCCCACTTAGCTGTGTGTTGAGTTATTGTTTCATGTGTCAACCGCCTTCTCATCCAACCAAAACTATTGAGTAAGGTAGAAACTAGGACTTCACCCAATGACTTTGCTCTGCAGATTAGATTGAGGGTATGTTCTATTCATCTTAATTTAACATACATCTTTTTTGAGTTTATTTGACCTAACTTATTGAACATATTGAACCTTTTTTTTGACAGGAAGATAAGAGATTTCATTAATATAATATAGTCAAATGACACTTACATATAATTTCTAAGAAATCAAGAATTCTAGCATAAGTACATAACAAGTTAAAACTAAATACATCGAGATTTAATCAACAATCGCCGTAATAAAAAATTTCATCTGAATAATACAATTTGTGAGTTAGCTCTGATTCGACTTGAAATCCACATGCGTAGTCCTTTGAGTGAAAATACTCATGTGGTCCTTTGGATTCTTATTGAGATTATGAAACCCTAATACGTCAACTCTTGCCTTACAAACATAAAATGAAAATAAACACAAGAGAAAATCATAATATCGAGGATGAGATCTATTTTTTGAAAGCAATTAAAAGGTTTTTGGGGTTTACCACTGATAAGAACATCGGTGGAAGCGCCTACAAAGATTCATAATTGAGACCAAGAAGAGAATAGGTGGTAGTGATGGAGGGAAAAGGAAAAAAAGAGGATGAAAACCTTAAAACTAAGGAAAAATATAGCAAATAGATGCTAGAAAAATCCTTCCAAGGGAAAAATTTTAGAGAGAATAAAAAAACCCTTCGTAGGAGAAAATCTAGAGGGAACGTATTCCTTCTTCTCCCAGCCTCCTTGAAATGTATTGAACATTATTAAAGCTTATTGTACGAGTATATGTTAATTTCACTTTGGTTGTTTTTGTTGACGTGCAAATAAGGAGCTATAGTCAGTGTGAGGGGTAAGGTTTGGTTGGATTTTTCATCTTACCTATTCAAAAAATATCTAAATGTTTAATAAATAAAATATCGGCAATGATATTTGGGATTTTTTAAAGTTGTCTCCAAGTCTGTGCCATGTGTAAATTGGCAAAATGTCATCATCAATGCGATATTTGATTGGGACTCCAAGACTATCAGAATGGTTAGATATGTAAAAAATAAAATGTTGGAATTTGAATGGGACTAACACTTGTAGTTGCTTCTACAGACTACAGTTCTAACATGACACATCTTCTATGTTTTACTTACGATGCACTTTTATGACAAGTTAGCGTGCTATTTGAAAAGGCGAATAGCAAAGGCAAAATGGATGAATTAATGTTAAAAAAAAAAAAAGAAAAAAAAAGAGCTTGTTTATGATCGGTAAAAAAAAGAAAAAAAGAAAAAAAAAATGTTAGGAAACCAAAGACAATATAGTAATTCTATGAACATACCATTGAAGATTTAAACTCCAATACTCCGTTACACAATGTGTTCCATATTTATGTATGATACATGATTACATGTATTACTTTCTTTGGATGCATGATCTCTTTCTTCAATTTTATTTTGGAACTATTAGTTGTATTTGGTATAGTGATAACTATTGCACTTCTTCTGTGTTTAAATAAATAAAATGTTTCTTATTTTAGTAACTTCTCTCTATTTTTTTTAATAATATTTACTCTATTTTTTAATAACATTTTACTAACTAATGATCTCCACAAAACCCATTACTAACTTTTCTAAAACTACTTAAAAGTTAAAATGTTTCATTTATTTAAACATGGAGGGATCGGAGTAACTTACAACCAAGAGGCTGTGGCATAAACCTCCACAAGAAAAACTTGGGAGTAGGGAGTCCCTTACTCTTACCCTTTCCCTTTCCCTCTATTCCCAATGAGACTTGTATGCAAACTCGAGCCGAGTTGATATGTGAAAAATTTCGGTCTGATAGGACGTGTTTTCTTATTAAAAAATGCCTTACTCCATATTTTGTAATTGAAACCTCGAGCCTCCTCCATATGAAAATGAATAGAGTTAAAAACGAAGAAAGTTATTTTTTTTTAAAAAAACCTTCACTTTAATTGAATGAAAACATTGATCAACTACTCAAATTAAGGCCAATGCTGCAAGAGGACAATTAGCTTATTCCGTGGCTTTCATTAGACGACGGTTATATATTATTAGACGCAGGTTATTATGATCTAGACATTGAAGTAGATGAGTCAGTTTATATTAACATTATATTCAATGATTGTCGATTTCTGTAAAAAAATTAACCTTAACTCGTGGACTACATTAGACGACGAGTACACATTATGGGACACTTTAATTTTATGCAATATTAAGCAATCAAGATGCTCACCTTTGGCGTTCTTTATTGTGATAATCAAGTGAAAGAAAGATAAAATATTTTGAGTAGAATTTTAGGGTTAAAAGAGAAATAATAAATTATGGTATAAAGTTACCGGATATTAAAGTGATCTAAATTATTTAAAACAGAGGTAGCTAATAAGACTTTGTTGCCATTTTGATGAAGTGTGATAGAAAGAAATGATGTGCAGTAACTGTGGATTGAAGGTTGGAGATTTGAAGGCCTAATATTGTTCAAAAGTTATCCTATTGTACAATACTTAACACCCACACAAAAGTGTTTAATTTCATTAGTTTGTCAAACAATGAAAGTGTCGCACCCCAATTCAACTCCAATGTAACATAGGGTCAAATTTAATGTAAAAGACAAATAAACCCATTGCCTCTACTATAAATTAAGGTTTGGGCACCAAGGTAAGTTGGTTCATTTGACCCCGGCGTCCTTAGTGCATCCGCTTTTGGTAGTATGTTTAGTATGTTGCATGCTCAGATGAAAAAATAGGGTAAAAAATTATCATCTATAGTTAAGTGTTACACCAGTATGTCATCTATGATAACTTCATTTCTAACGTAGAAAATTATGTTAAATTTTAAGCCAGTGTGACTCATTGTTCATTACGATGACATTACACCACGGGACTTATGAATTTGTGGCACCATTATGTAACATGTTCTTTAATTGAATTTTAAAAAAAAAGCCTATGCTATAGGTAAGTCCAAATGAGGCTATGATTCTCAAAAAGACAATTAGCACTAGGTATATTTAGTCCTTGGATAAAGATCTCCAATTTATTCTGTCAACTGCGCTATTGTCTCCCAAAATCAGCAACTTCTTTACACTCTTTTACTTGTTTAGCATCTCTTGTTTCCACATACATTGCATTCTTATATTCTTAACTATTTCACTAATTAGTTTTGCTCTCCAACTACCATGCTACTCCTCTCTATGATCTTTTTAATCCTCGGAAAAACGCAACAGTAAATCTGTTAACGATTCTGTCGTAGCTAAAACAATTCTGTTGATATTGTTTTGTGGTGATTTTTCAAGCTTGATACGATACTTGTATTAGTATTGGATAGTCGAATTTGATTACGATTAAAAAAGTCAAGAGACATGAATGCGACGAGAATGCTGTTAGTTATCATCTAATGATTGGTAATAGAGTAGGAGGGCAGAGAGGGAGACAAAGGTTGTTTAAAAAATTGAACAGAATCTTTACCAGAATGTAAGCTGCAAGTCTGCAAGACTGTTAGTCATCGTAATTAATTAAATAAATCCGTAAAAGGGTTTTAAATATTATTGAGGGTTGGCAACATGTCGGACTAACTGTTTCCTAAGACGAGTGACGAGCAAGGGTAGTCCCACGTCGTGTTCACATGCCTTGATCTCGCTCTCCTCTTCTTCTGCTCCTTCGCGAACTATAAATAGCTCGAAAGACAGCATTGTCTATTCAGTGCATTTTAGTGATCAAAATCTCTCACATTTACTTGAACAAACAAAAAAGATAAACATATTTCATATAACAAATTTAAACAAAATGGCTGCCTCTTCTCATCCTGTTAGGTCCATAAGTTTACCTGCCAGATCTCACCCAACATCACTTAAAATCGAAGAAACGATCAATAAGTTAAAGAATCGCGATATTTACCCATCAGAGTCAACTTCCTGTTATGCATCAGGAGCCGATAGTATTCAGCTCGGTCTTCTTAACCTTGTTGAGCTGTATGCTCATCTACAAGATCTTATCAACTCTCTTTCCAGCCAGAACGGGAAATTGGTTGAAGAAGCCTTAGAAAGTTCGGTATCTCTGCTAGATACTTGCAGCAGTGGAAGAGACCTCATTACAGGGTTTAAGGAGCAAATCTGTGAACTACAGTCTGCTCTACGTCGTAAGGGGTACTCGAGCAGTGAAGAAATTAGCATGTACATGAGTTTTAGAAAGAAGGTTGCAAAGGAAGTTTCAAGATGCCTTAAAGTGTTAAAGCTAGCTGAGGGAAAATTCGGAAACACTGCTCCTCTGCTTGAAAGCGATCCTTCAACAGCGAATTTAGTTAAACTTGTAAGAGAAACATACACTGCCACAGTTGCTGTCTTCAAATCACTCTTCTTGTTCTTATCTAGTCCAACCAAGGCAAGCAGATGGTCATTGGTCTCAAAACTCGTCACCAAAAATTCAGGGGCTCGTTCTACCAGCAAGGTGGCCGGGATCCTGAACGAGGTTTCTGGGGTTGATCTAGCCCTTCAGAACGATAAAAAAGTTGATGTGATGCTAGTACGAGGAAAAATTCAAGCTCTTGATGCTAATCTTCAAATCATCGAGGGAGAACTCGGGTGCCTTTTTAGGTGCTTACTACAAAATAGAGTCTCACTCTTGAACATCCTCACAAATTGAGTGGATACTTAGACTAAATAGTTTGTATACTATATATTCTTTGTCATGGTAAATTTCCATGGGCCAGAAATTTTGTGCATTTGTAAATTGAGACACAGGATTTATAGTTAGCAATGAAATTATATATTGATTGATTCATCTATTTGATTTCTTTCAAATTCTGCAATATTTTTTTCCTGCGACTTTTTCCTGCAAATTCATAGAACTGGTTCAACGTCATTTTTCCAAATTAATTTACTGTTCTCTACGTTGTTCATGTTCTTAACTTTTTTTCAGCAAATATCCTTACTAAAAATATTTTTAAGTCCCTCAAATCTGTAATAACAAAGCTAATTCATTTTTATGTCTCACCAATAATTAGTTCTTGTTCTTCAACAGATATAAAATTACGTTCGGCTTCTGTTGAATTATAAAGAATCATAACAGATAATTCATATAGTTTGTTACACTAGAATGGACTAAAATCAGCCCTTTTCTGTACGTTCAGTCATTGTCTTAGTACATTGGTGTAGGAATATGTAAGCATCATATCTTGATATTTTAAGGGCTAAGGTTAAAATCGAAGTGATTGATCTTGTAATTACTACCACGGTTAATAAGCTCCGAGTACGAAAATTACTAACGCAGCATGATTCCACTGGCTTGTTATCTTGTTAAGTCTAGGACTCTGTCATTTCCCATGCTTTTAACTTTGTATCATGGACAGTATGGAGTATTGTTTGAAAGTCCAATTTTAAACATCTTATTGCTAAGTTTGCCCTTTGTTAGCACGTAAAATCGTTTAATATCTTTAGAGTTAAGTCACACCCAAAATATTGAAAATTACAGTAGATTTGATCACAAAGATGAATTCCACTGATTGATTGATCATTGCCCTATGATAAAGAGTCAATACATTTTTTTGGTTTCAACTTTACAGAATGACAAATTTGGTGGATATGTCATCTGTTTTAATGTCTGGTTTCATTGAAATTGTACTATAGTTTCATTCACTTGGTGTCAGATTTAAATTTATGTCCTTGTTGGATTTAGTTTAGGAAAATCATTTAGTTTGTTGAACTTAAATGGACAGAAAATAAAACCTTTTTTCAAGTGCTTCAATAATACTTGGCCAATATAGCAAATTTAGAGATGTGTAAGCATCAGTGGTCTGTAAAATGCATTATATCCGAAACCTTGAGGCATGTGAAATGAATGTGGTTGGTCTTGTTAGCTACTTAGTATTAGTTACCCTGATCCCATCTTCATGTTTACCATAATTATGATCTTCATGTTTTAAGATCATAATTCGGTTTGTTTGTTGGTTCCCTATATCTGCGAATTAATAGGTTAGAAGGTAACGGCTTGCACCACACTAGACATTTTCTGTTCTATTGCCGTACCAGTAAATTATAACCCTCGCACGATAAGTCCTATAAACTTCCTTACACCGCGTGTGCTTGGCTATTTTTACGTATTGCTTTAATATGTTCATGATTCGTTGTAACCGGACTATTGTTTTACATATCTAGACATAACACATCTATATCTCGAATTCTCTTGCCAAGCATGCAGATGTTTGGAGTAGTCGAAACAAGTTCTGAATCATGACTTGGAATATGAATGAATCTAGTGGCGTACGACAATGGTATGCATACAGGTTACTCTGCCCGTACTCTGTATTCATTTGTTAATACAAAAATGGAAACAACTACTGATACTTGATTGTTACATATGTTTTGACCATATATTTCTGTGTCGTTTTTCTATGACTAAAGCATTCAAGGATGGGCATGACCTCCATCACTATTTATTGTATATAATACAACCAAAGGGTTGAGTTGGATGAAATCATGTGATTGTTGTTCTCTTAGATTTGTACTAGAAAATCTGTTTTTTTTTTTTTTTGAAAGAATTTTATACAATAATAAGAATAAACAATGTAAATAGGCATAAATAGTTAAATATCATGATATTATAATGAAGTATTCCATATACATTACCCATGTCTTCTTAGATTTAGTTCTACTCCATATATAATATTTCCATCTCTCATTGTTAAAGTGGTTTATTATTTATTATTCAGAGTTACAGTCCTACTAATATTATAACAATTTTTCCATCTCTCAATCAATGCATATCATACCCTTCTCCGAATGAATCTTTTATTCTAGTATCCCAAAATAAAAGTCACATTTGCATTCGGCAAACTTTTTTAGGAAGGTAGAACATATTCGAGTTTGATTAATTAAGTTTGAATCAAGAAAATAAATAGTTGAATATGAGTTTTACTTAATTAAAGAGTGCATGGTAAAAGAAAAAAGCAGACAATAAATTAAGACTTTTATAATAAAGAGTTTGATTAGTTGAGTATTTAAATTTATTAATTTTTCACATCGTATTTGTTTTATGTTAAAACTCACTCAACATCATTTGCTTAACGACAAACAAACATAAACTGTTTAATTGTCATTTTACACTACTCTTTGTAATCCACATATAAAGAATCTGAAATTTAATTTTACCAGAGAATAAAAATAGATAGGATACATTACACTAGTACAGTAGTACTTCATGTACCTAAACCAAGTTGCATTAGGAATTTATTTTCATAATTACATGTTTAGATTTATAAATATTAGTTGCAACATTATTCCGTACAAGTTGCTAAATTATCACATAATAATTCTTCTTCATTCTACCCAATTTTTATGGGCAAAATTCATATATAGGTTGTCACTAATTATATTTTAATCAACTTGTATATAAGCTTAATTATGTAAAAGAGTACACCCTTTGTACGGTGCCTACGATCACATGTAAGGCTGCTGGACCAATTTAAGAACATGGATTAAATAATTATATTAATTAATCATGCATATTATATAGTTTTGGATGTGGAAATGAATGAAATTACTAGTAGAATTGTTTCCTATGATTGATAATCAACATTATGAAGGTCATTAATTTTGTCACCATATTAAACGGTTTAACACATGATTTAATATGGGACAAGGAGACAATGAGGTTCCATTCCAGGCTTACTATTAGACAACTCTCTAGTTCTTCCCCCTTCCCTTTCGATGGCGTCTCCGATGTACTAGCCATGTTTGATGCATACAGTCCTCAAATAGTAAAGCACTGCACATTCTCAAAACTTATGATACGTGCTCATCTGTCACTGAGTGATGAACTACCTAGATGCTGTGTTTTACTATATAATTACTAATACAACTATAAATTGATAAGTGGTAATATAGTAAAAACGTATTTTAATTTTATATGTAATCTTTAAAAAAGAAGTTTATGCTAATTAATGCCATGAACCATGATAATGATAGTTCATCATCACCCCTAATTTTCAAGACGTATTCATGATTTTAATTAACATCTATTATGTGTCAAAAAAAAAAAAAAAAAAAAAATAGCATCTATTAATGATGATGATAATGAAAATTTATGAAGAAAACATTTGTGAATTGAGGTTGTATTACCATGGATATTACGATGATATTTATTGCTATACTTCGTAACAAACTTAAATTCATGATTTTTTTAAAAAAAATTTAATTGTTGAGACAAAAAAGAAAGCAGCTGATTCAGATTGTCACATTCTATCCCATTATTCGAGTAACTACAGCTCCTGTCTCTAAAAGATTGCCCAGCCTATTATTAGAAATTAGTCTTTGGGCATGTTCTATGCACGGGCTGTGCATAAGTTATTATTTATTTATACTAAGAACTTTACAAATTATTTGAATAAATTAACTTCATTGACTTTTCACATCTTATAACATTTTACAAATTGTTAAGCTTTTAATGTTTTATTATTGTAATTAATCTTTTTTTTTTTTTTTTTTTTGTGTTTTTAAGAACTATTGAACTAAATAAAATTGTAGTATATTGTTTTTGGGTTTGAAAAATAAAAGTTCTAATGGATTTATTTGGACGAATCTGCATAGTATGATTTATATAAAAAGAACGTTGAAAGAGTCGACATAGCTTGTGCGTTCATTTGTTGACTAACTGTCGGTGATCGAATTCCTTATAATTGTTATATATTTGCAAGTTTCAAAAGCCTAGCAAAAAAATAGCAAGATTTAATCTTTCAACAAATAACCAGCAAAGTAATAATTGTATTAAAAATCCTTTCAAAAAAAAAAATTTATTAAAAAAAAGGCTTTAATTATATAATCAAACTCTCTAATTACATTATAGTTTATCAATAATTTTTAACTAAAAGCTAAATACGAAACCACTTGTTGTCATTTTACATTGTTACATCAAACATATATTAAATTATAAAATTCCTATTTACCAAATCTATTTCTCTTGGACTGCGATTAATTTCTTGAAAATAACGGCCCTATGACATGGAAGCAATGTCATATATACTATGGAACATAGTTTCATAATTTTCTTGAACAAAACTCTTCATTTTCCTTTGCAAAATCAATTCTTCCTTCTTTTTAGCCTCAATTTACTTAAAATTTTGATGCTCTAATATATTTTTTTTGGAACTTAGGTGATGTGAAAAAAAAAAAAAAACTTTATTGAAAATTTGTATTTATATTAGGAGATAGATTGAGGGAAGATAAGGGGTCAAATAATTGAATGAAAAATTTGATTAAATTCAATTGAAAGATAAAGGGAGAAGAGGAGAAAGTAAAAAAAAAAAACAATTTGTTGAATTAAATTAGAACTTACAAAATATAAATAGCTGTTAAGAAATAAAGGGGGAAGCTGAAGAAATCTTATGAAAAAATAAAGAAAAATAAACACATTAATTGGACTCATGGAAAAAGAATGAAAAAGGGTAAAAGGGAATTAGGAAGACAAGTGGCACTTCGATTTGTGTTTTTAAACACAAGTAGAGATAGATAATATTTTTTCTTAATGGTTTAAATGGGTGAGACCAAAGAGCATATGCGAGATTAAAGTAGAATTAGTTCTTTATGACCATTTATGATATGTGGCAAACATTAAGGGACGAAGGAAGTAAATTCATACAATTGTTATGCAAATAACTTCAGTTTCACTATTTAATTTTTAATTTACTTCATAGCTCTTGAATG